GCTAATTATTTAGTATATATCCTTTAATGTGATTAATCTACAACAAGTAATTTTCAATTCAAAAAATTTTGTTGATTATTTTTCAGTTTCTGTGTGCCAAAAAATTTTTAAGAAAAGCAGTAGTTCTGTTAAACCATTTGATGTCAATCAATAGCGACGCATAGATACTGATTGTTTTTCAATGTAAAAAAATAATTTATTAAATATTCCCTTTGATTGAAGTTAAACAGGTGAAACAGATAGATAATTTTTCTCTCTTTATACCAGTCTATCGAAGAGCGGCAACTCGTCTGATAATTATATTTATGGATGGTAAATTATATATGGATGGTAAAAATTTCAATTATCTAATTTCCTTAAGAACCAATATTTGGAATCTATGAAAATATATATCTTAAGATTAAAACAGATTTTTGATATTATGTGGTGGTAGATATTTGGTAGAATGAGTTATTTAATATCACTCTCTTCAAAGTCGCTACAACGAGGAGCAATGCTCCTAACTAGTGCTGGAATATGTAATTGTAAATTGATCAAAGTTTTTGATGTTTTCGTATGTTTGCGTACAATAGAACCGTTAACAAACAGTAAAATTAAGTAATACATTTCTGACAGTAATATAAAATATAATATACATTCTATTTTCAGACAATAGTCGAAATACAACAAGATTATACAATAATGGGAATGATGGTGACTTTCGAGAGGATATCAGTATACCTTCATCATTGGTACTGGTATCTAGCGTACCTATTGGATAGCCTTAATATAATTGTTCAAAAAGATCGATGCGATGCAAAGTATTTTTTTAATACATGTATCATCAAATTAGCTAGGTCCGTTTTGTACACATATCGAAAATATACGATTTTATTCAACGCGAATTTTTTAATTTGATTTATTGAACACAATGAAATTTAATTTGAACACATAAATAAAATAATATTTATTAAAAAGTGCAAAATTATTGGACACGTTTATTTTCTATGAATAAATTAATTGGAAACTAATTGAAACGAATATTCTATATATCATAACTGTACGCTTACATTTTTTTTACTTATTGAATACATTAATTACTGAATACATATTGTACACGAGCAAACTACTATTCTACACAAATAATGTTTCGAAAGATTGTGCGTAAATCAATTCTACACATATTATTAAAAATTATTCAATCGTTTAAAATATTTATTTCTATTAGTTTCCAATTAATTTATGTGTAGAAAATAAACGTGTCCTATAATTTTGTACTTTTTAAGTAATATTATTTTATTTATATATTCAAATTAAGTATCATTATATTCAATAAAACAAATTAAAAAATTTTGACTGACATATACCGAATTGTATTTTTTGCCCTATTCCAATACTTTCCAATCATCGTAATTTATATCTTTTTATAGTAATTGGGTATTAAATTTAAGTATGCAAAATAAACTATTTATATATAGTTATATCGTTTTCCATTATATTATATAATCATTATTACTATAATGTTTTCTCGATAAAATATTTTATTATGTACAATTTACAATTAAAAAAGTTTTTATTACTATAAACTTTTTAAAATTAAAACTGTTACATAAAAAGTGAACAGATTTTTTAGTTAAAATTCAACAGTAATTTCTAGTTATAATTTAAACTTCTAATTATTTTAAACTTATATTTTGATATAATTGTACGATAAATGTATATAGTAATTGTATATAATAAAACCATGTCGTTTTCTTTCTCTAAATTTCAAATTGGATTTTGAACTTTATTTGTCGCTAAATTTATTATTATTTATTAATATATTTGTCCTAGAATTTAAGCTTCAGTTTTGTTCGTATGATGTTTTGCAAACAAGTTTTCTTAATACTTACTTTATTAAAAGTGATATTAATCTATAAAGACGAATAGATTTTACGTAATACATATTTATATTTACGTAATACATCTTCTTCTGTGCAATATACATGTAGGCACTATTAGGATTTTTATTTATTGCACCAGCCTTAGCTTTTGGTAATTTCAATACATAACTATCGCAACAACAAAATTTAATAATTGAAATAGACAGATTTATTACTAAACGTATGTATAACAATACTGAAATGTCATGATAGTTGTATAAAATAAAATGTTTTATAAAAAAAACTATTCAAATAAATTCGTACAGATGAACTTGGTGTTAGTATAGGCAAAACAAAAAGTATAGGTGTTAGTTAAACAGGATCGGATGCCTCAAGCGTAGCAATATCTTGCGAATAAAGCTTCCACAATTTGGAGGAACATCAACCTGATAATACTAAATATGTTGAGATGAATGCATTCAACTATTATGGTAGTGATGGCCTCACCATATGCTTGTACCAAGAGGTAGAATTAAAAGATATCCGAAGGTTTCATTTGTCATGATATCCAATAAAAATTTCGATAAAGTTAGAATTTTAAAAGTCATGAAAAATAATTCTGATAATGTTCAAGTGACAAACAATAATAACTTGATATTTTCTTGAGTATCATTTTACTCGCGATTATTTTACAAATAGAGTACAAGTTATGATTGTTATAGTGTGCAGACATACGATCGACTAGCTCCAGCTACCGAATATGGGTGGCATTATGTGGCTTAAGAGATCGCAAATATCCAGACGAAAAGCCTACGGGCTTTTCTTTCAATTACGATGTAAGAACGCTTGAAGAATTCTTGACACCCAACATGGCTCAGACCGATATAGCTCTTATTCATTTTAAGACTAAAAAATAAGCATCTTTCTTCTGCAGTATATACGTGTTTGGAACGTTCATGTTCTACTACGTGTAAAGTTTCGGCTTTTTGATAATGTGTCTGAATTGCCAACTTGATAAATATGTAAAGCTGCATCCAGAGACTGAATAAGAGCAAATATAAGGTTGTGAAATATTAGAGAAGTATATCAAAGTGACATTATAAAGCTTTCTCACTCTACAAATTGTCTTGAAAGAATAAATGTGAAAGTCATATCTGAAAATATAAATGTTGTAGTATGTATGTAGAAAAAGTTTTGCTTAAGAAATTCATAATATTAGATAAAAGGTTTTCATTAAATTATATTAAAATAACTACGAATAAAATATAGAAATATTACTAAATTAATATTCAATTTAAATAATTAGATGATCATCGAAACAGTCCTAAATGTATTCTCTGAGTACTCTCACGTTTCATTTAGAAACTCGGTGCACTATACTTATTTCTGAAGATAATATTGCTATCATCAACACCTACCATGTATCTTATTTGTTATGATGCATGTAAAACTTTGTCCTCCTACACCATTTTTAAAATATGGCAAGGAAGGTGGATCTACATATTCATGACTATAGCGAACCAGGACTAATGCATATTGATACCTAGTATACTTCTGCAGCGTTCTACGTGAACGCAGTTCTTGAAGTCACAATAACAATGACAATATTATATAATACTGAAATTTTCCTTTTTTTCTGAAATTCTTCAAATTCGTTATTTACTCTCAATGAGTTGGCATTTGCGCTACAGATATCTAATATATTTAAATAGGATTTTTCATTGAAATTGAAGATTGAACACTTGGAGATAAATATTTGTACTTATAGAAGGTAAGTAAGGACTTTAGTTTATTTAACTTTTAAATCTGAACATAACTGAATGTAGTTTTTGGCTTCTAGAACTTTCGATTTTGATTATGTCATAAAACCAATAGCTCTCGCATTATACGAATAAAAATAGATATAAAACATGTAGAACTTTTGTATTATTCTTTTCTTATGTAAGATATATGTTGATAAAAATGTTCGTGAATATTAAAAAAGTTCGCAAGGATTCCAGTTAAAATCACTAAAATCGAATCATACTTTTTGTTCATAGTTTGAGCTAGCATTTAGTTACAACAATTTTCAATAGTGATATGGATAGTGATTAAAACCCGATTTTTAAGCGGCCTTCAGTGATTTAACTTTTTACATTACTTACAAGGAATCCTTGAATATATGACTTTTAAGATGATTTTGAATAGATGTTATCGTTAATTGTGGTGGTGCAAGGGATTAAATAGACGTTATTGACTTCTAGTTTCCTTACACCTTTCCGGAATTTCTGTAATTTTAACTTAAATTATGAGCTAAAGAACCCTACCTTGACTTTTAATAACTTTTTTTAATAAAAACTGGATTTTGTCCTATTTGCTCTTCTTATTTAGGATATATACGTTCAGTAGATGTGTACTAAAATTATATATCTTTAATAAAAAGAAGAAGAAGCTCTAGCACAGAACAAATTTTGTTTTATTCTTGATCTCTGGAAAATGAAATTTTTTTAAAGAATTCGTCTATATATAAAATAACTGAGTTATTAACAATTATATTATTGAATAACTCTAAGAAAAGTTTTTCAAAGCATATTCCACGTAGTTTTGTAGAATAGAATAATTAAAATTGTTGAATTTCGAAAAAAATTTTTGTTGTATGTGAACGTACTTTTTGGAGAAACTTGTAGTTAGAAAAGTATTTATTTTATCTTTCCAAAAAGTAATTATGACTCTATAAAGACAAATCATTCTATTACAAAAGACTTTTGTTATAATAACATTAAATAATAATAAAAAGTATTCACGGATTTTATATAAATAATAAGAAATTTTAACGCACAAACATTTTTCAGACAAACCGGTTTAAGCAAATCTACAATTATTAAATGTATTAATTGATCGTAAGCAATCAAGTTAATATAGGGCATTTTGAATAAAATACATATAAATAATCAGTCATATTTGAAGTAAATGTTCCAGCTCAAAGAAAAAATTCATTTTGCGCAAACTTTACTTAGCGAAACGAGAGTGCACGGCAGTAAGCGTTTCTCCCTCTTTCACTTCATCCACGAGGAGTTTCTAAGTTTGAAGGTAGGTGGCGTAGCATACTAGCGCTTGGAAAATCGATACTTATCGTCGTAACCCGCGAACTCACTGTCTGTGCAGTTTGCCTTTCGGGTGCATGAGATAAACAGCAGCGTAGTCCGAACCTTTGCTTGTAAACAGCAAGTATCATGATTCGATAGTTCGCTAATGCCCGTGGCAACGTCTGCAAAAAATTACATATTTCGCACGACTGGTTGATATCGAATAAGAATCATGGTAGGTGTTGACGATAGGAATATTGTCTTCAGAAAATAAGTATAGTGCACCGGGTTTCCAAATGGAACGTGAGTGCACTCGGAGAACACATTTAGGGCTGTTTCGATGAACATCTGAATATTTAAATTGAATCTTAATTTAGTAATATTTCTACATTTTTTCATAGTAACTTTCTTATTTATATCGAAAACCATTTGAGAATATTTTAAAACGATATTTAGAATTAGTTGAATAGAATTATAATTTTCTCTGTGTACAGTATGGGTTCGTAAATTATGCTTTGGAACTGCTGGTAGTAAAAACATTTGACAACGAAACATGGGAAGCTATAAAGTAAGTATTTATTTATAGTTTTATTTATAGTTTTACGTTATTTATTTATAGTTTCACGTTAAAATGAAAAGTAAATAATAGGAATAAAAAAAAGTATTGTAAATTACATATTATTTATCTAGACTATAATGGTTAGTATACGATTTTAATAAGTCAGATAGCCGTTGCATGAAACTTTGAACATGAATATTTATGTCTGTTCAATCAATTATAATTTATTCAATATATCATAGTTTTTATCGCAGTCTAATTTAGCGGTCAAGATTTTTTGTCGATAATAACTTATCTGAATCTTAATGCTTAAACTTCGCATATTTTTAAATATAATAGAATAATTTTATTCATTATTATACTCAGAGCATGTTACTTCTGGTAAAATAGCAGCTTTTTTGCGTACTGAACTTATTGAAAAGTGTAAAAGATGATTTATTTAAATTTTATAACATATATGCGTGCTGAAGGTTAGATAATGAAACTATGACTAATTAAAATTTGAAAATATGAATTAAAATAAATAATATTATGTATCAATTACATAGTTAAATTTGTAATCAATAAAATAGACATCTAAAACTTTTGGAAATTTGCTTATTTTCGAGTTTAAATGAATAAATAGTTTGATTGAGTCTAATTCTTCGAATGAATTTTTATAGTTTACTGCCGTGTATTTATTTTAATTGATAGAATATTGCGTTTATATTATCAAAACCTGTTAGTCCGAGTCATTCAAATTTTATGATTCTGTTAAGTTGTAATATTTTATCAAGAAACTATTTTTCGATATGAAATTTATAACCTATTATTTACTCTAAAAAATCCCATTAAATGTTTTATCCATTCTAATTTGTAGACATAACTAAATCTTGTAATTTTAAATGAATCACAGTTCTTTTGTGACATCGTGGCAACGACACAGCTTAGGTACGCCTGTGGCTTGGCGTAATCTCAGGGTTCCATTGTCGCCAGAACTGCGATTTCTCGCCTAAACTAGCATGGATCACTATCAAAACTTTTCGGAAAGGGAAAGTGTCACTATTTCTTATACGTCTGCCTTTTAGATTCCAATCGATCGTAGTAATTCAAAGACAAGACGTACCCAGGGCCCTATCTATAGTAGAACCTGGTTTCCCTATAAGGATCGTATCTCGAGCCTATCAATAGTAGTCTCTAGATACCAAGGAAAAGGATTTTTTTAGAGGTTCGCGAGCTAATTGACAGAGGTAGCAAAGAGGCAGAAGCAGACTACATAAATTTCTTTGGCTTACTACTTTATTTTGTTTTCTTTCGGGCACGATCTGGTACTCTAGTTATAGCTGGCTCTTTGGCTTCTCAGCTTGTCAATTGCTTCTTGGTGGCTTCTTGGTTCTCTTGGGCCCTTCTTGGTGGCGACACAAATGAATTTTTTCTTATATGGCCCTTTTTATATCCTGGGGGTGGTTGGGAGGCGAGTCCCTCTCTCATCTCCTCACTTTTAGGAAGAGTGGAACGAGAAGTCGCTGCTAATTGGTTTGCCAAGCTCTTTCGATTTTCCTTGTTTGGTCTCCGGACCCTAATTGGAGCGGGGGCGTGAGGAAAATTGTGGGCGCGGGCATCGGAGCGCGGGCCTTGACTCAAAAGATGGCTCTTAGAGTATCCTTTGCGCGCATTAATGACGCTTATTATTTATAAATGTTGATACGCAAGATTTTACAGTTTTAATCTTAATGATAACGATACTTATAGACTATTTTATGCTAACAACAAAAATACAACTTAAATTCGCTGTAAAATACAATTAACAAGTAATTTTTTACACAAAAATAGCGGGAAGAGCTTGCAAGCTCGCAAGCTTTGTTACAAATCTTCACTACAAGTTATTGTTATCTTAAACATGAAATTTTTATATTTATTAATTATATTGTTTTAATTAAATTGAATTAAACGGAAACTATATTTGAAAATTTGCGCATCTCAATAGGACATTTATGGAATATTCTTTAACCTAATTTCCAAGGATATTAATCCATCAAATCGCAGAAATTCCTATTAAAATAAAAAAATTCCGTTTTTCTTCTTTGTTTTCTGGCTGAACCAAGCCCCGGAGCGAAAATTCAATGAGAGATTTTGAACAGCCATAATTAGTTGCTACATAATATGTAAGTTAAATATTTGAATTTAGACAATTTTTGATTTCCATTTCATTCTATTGAATCATCTTAAAAGAAGAAAAATTCATTAGGAAAAGTAGAGAACAGGATGAAGTCGCAGTTTTATAGCCCTCTCCTCTTATCGACATGTGTACGCTTACCAGACACGTGTGCGGAGGCTGCATGTTCTTTGCATACGAGCGAAAAAGAGCGACGGGCGAAGGAATATAAAAAGAGGGTACCTAAGCCAGTACTAAGTTCGGTTTAGATTTTATTGCCACTTGGAAACTATATAGGAAAATTTTTGCTGTGACGGTTAACCTAGTCCCTCCTTCTCACGGGTAAAAGGTTCTCATTCCGTTCTTGGTCTTAATTCTAAGAAATAAAAAAGTTTTACAATTAGAGTATTTGATCCGTCGTCACACTTTCAATAAACTATGATAATAAATAGAAATACTGCTACAAATGTTTTTATATAAATATGTAAAAAATATACTAACTATCAAAATAGTTGTCTAAAATAAAAAATGTAATTATCATATTTTAGAAAAGATGCAGCTGTCAATATGGAAGGTCAGTTTCTTGTACGTCAGATTTACGAGGATGAAGTTACATACAACATCATTGGCGCTGCTGTCAAACGACTCAGTAAGTTATGCTTGATAATAATTATTATAAAATTGTTGCTTTTATTTTTGCTCAAAATTCGAATAACTTTACATGACATTAATTTTTTTATAAATATTAAAAATTTGAAAAATAACACTTACAAACTCTATTAAGCGTGAGTTGAAATATAAATAAGCACTTAAATATAATGCAAGGGTTTACAAATGTTAATCTAGTAGGGGTTATAAAGTCATTTTTTAGGACGTGTACAGTTGTGTTAGCACAGAATCGGGCGTACAAGTAAAAGTATCCGATTTGGTAGTAAATAATAAAAGGCCACATAAGTTATACCAAGGTATAACATTCTTAACCTCTAAATATATTACCGAATAATAGCGTGTTTGATTCTACTGACATCTAAGTGATTTGAAACTTAACTCTTAGAGTCATAGTGTCCTGACAATACTTTGGAACATCAGCAATATTAAATAAAGACTAAATTTAATCTTTAAATTACATAAATCGATTGAACTATCCATTCAATTCTCAATATCTACTAGGTTAAATTAATCTAGCCAAAATAAAAATTACTTAAAATTACGAAAATACGAATCCATATAAATTTGTGCTATCAATGTCCTCATAAAACTGCAACTCTAGGGATTAATAATGTATAATTATGACTTAAAACAATAATAATAATACGATATGGAATAAAAAATATTGCGTAGCGAATTGTAACACGTATGTCGGTATCGGTATTCTCATCATATATCGCTTTCCAAAAACATTTTGCCCCTGGAGCTCTCTCATCCTCAGCTCCAAGCATTTTCTCTCTCTTCTATCTATTCCCACACTAACAGCGGGGCCGTACCCTTTCTGGGCCTCTCGAATTGTTTTCCCTCATCGTGCTATAACAGTTCTGGCTTGACCCTTCTAACTGCCACATGTGGATTTAACTCAATTAATTGAAAAAAATGAACGGATACTTCGGGGAATCCAACCCTTGTCCTATGGTTCCACAGCCCAGCGTTCTACCACTTGAGCCACAGCAGTTCATGCCTCTTTCTAGTTCTTACTGTCTATATTAGATACATATACTGTCGAAATGATATGTCTATAATATACAGCTGTTAATTAAGGGCGGGGGGGGGGTCAAGTAGTGAATACATACATTAAATTGAAGAATTTTTTTATTGATAAAAACATATCTTATGCTACAAATCCTTTATTTAAAAAATCGTTATAAAAATCCTTCAATGATTTTATTGATTTCTTTCCACTCCATGCAGTAACCATTGGTGTAAAACTGTTTCATTTATTTAACGTTTTGATGTGTGTACGTGGTTATATATTTACCGTTATGATTAGGATACGTAGTAACTGATTTAATATTTTAAAAAGGGAAATATCCCAAATCATTCAAGCTGGAAACTTTGACACCGTATCGTTTTAGATAACGATAGATAGATCTTTTTTAGATCACCGCAAACGAAAATTTTAGTAGCATCTTTGAGTGTATTTTGAATCACAAATTTGTGCTCTGAGTATTCGAGATTACCAAAGTCCCATTCTAATTCATGGATGTAGAATTCCAACTATAAATTCTGATGTTTATATTTCTCAGTTAATCTTCATTGTAATTAAGCGGAAGTATCGCTAGCTCCTTCACGGCATACATTTTTCCAGGCAACATAAAGCCTTGCATATCCACTATATATAATCCATTATGACAGTTACTGCGAGCAAGCCGCTACTGAACTGATTATGGGTAGAATCAACTATTTAATATATCCACCCTCACTCCTTAAATAAGTTTCTTTACATTCCTACTTATTGGATTGTATTAAACAATACGAGCATGCAAAGAGACAATATGCTATAATTCCTTCAGGAATATTTTCTCTTATTTTAAACTCCAAGTGCGTATTCACTGCAGACTTCTTCGATGTCTTATTTTGTTTAAAGCAATTAATGACAATGAGCGGTACTTGATTTATGAAGGTAGATTTTGTTCAGCATCGGTTCATAATCTTTACAGTAGTATGCCTTTTGTCAAACGGCATACATGTTGTACAATATTGCAAACTGATATTTATTTATATCAATATTAAGATCACCATGCAGATAACACTGAAAGTTGATGAATATCACATTACTGATGCTGCAATGATCAAATACGCTAGCATAAACGTTTGGAATATTTTTTTTTAGATTGAAAAGACAAGATGACTTAACGTGATTTTTCCGATTGATTTACAGTTTTGACGGTCTATACATGACTTGTGTTCACAGGTAGCATTAGATACTTGTGTAATTCCCAACTCATATAATTAAAATGTTTCTTTTTCTTTTCAGAAGATCATAGATGAATTATGTGAATATTGGATACAGTAACACACGGCATAAACCATTCGATACGTATTATATCGATTTTGAAATTTTCGATGACTGATTCTAAATTCACTAATTTTGTTGTCTGGATAACAGCATTTAAATCACTGCCCGATCGTGTAAGAATTAGTTCATGTTTCATGTTTACTAACACTTTGCGGTAATCTTTAGCAAATCCGAGAATGAAGCTTAAAGGAATGGCAACGTCAAAGTATTGATTCTCGTTGATTATATTCTGGTTCTTTTAATTTATTATCTATTACCGAATTTAACTGTCGTTGCATAGTACAACTTGCGCTTACTTGCAACCTTAACAATTAAGACGCCGATGGTTGAATTGCACGACGCCGATTGTGTTGCTTGCAAACCAGTCAATCTGGTTGTGTCTTGTGGTCTTTCATTAACGAGAAAACCCCATTGGTGAGATGACAATCGTTCAATAAGTCTTTAGAAAAAGATAAAATAAAATTAATTTTTGGTAAATTTTTTTCATTTTATTATTTGTTTTTAAGTCTATAAATTTTTCCAAGCGTTTTTCCAAAATTTTTAAGCGGTACAAAAAGTAAAATTTCTTAAACTTTAACTAGCTACAGCAAGTTCACTGGCCCTGTGCGCGACACTCTTCTCGCTGGACCGCAGCGACCAAATATGGCTCTATTAGATGAGTATACGAGTACATGCTTACGGCGGGCGCGGCAGCGCCGCGAGGAAGAGAACGAGTGCGAGAAGAGCGAGAGAGAGAGAGAGAGAGAGAGCGACGAAGGAAAATTTCAGCGTAAAGAAAGCGGTGCGTGCAGCGGCGAGGATCGTCCGTCGCGGAAGAAATAACAATGGATAGTGAGGTGTGAGTTTGAAGAGAAAGACATACGCCTAAGATCGATTAGTAATCGACGTCACTAATTTGTGTCTGAGAATTGAGTCCATCATCGTGTGGAAGGCAACAGACGGCAATCATCTATTTGAGAATGAAGAAGGCTGGGATCGATCTAATAGATATCATAATTCCATAGCTACGGAGATCGGGACGTGCCTCCACCGTCTCCATACTACGACGTCTCTGCCCAGACAGCTGTTGTCACCGGGGATTCACTTTCGTAGGTACCGTCTCTGCTCCTGTGAGTTGCGAGTACCCGGTGGGTAGCTCTCTTAAGCATCATTTTACTCAATCGCGCCAACTCTCGCTCGTCTACAACCGCCGTTATTGCTTTATTTAATTCGTAGTTATCGCGCACTGACGTTGAACGAATTCGCAATATAAAAATAACATAAACGGTTTATACGTAAAAAATTATTTGTAAATATTATAAAGTAAAATGAAAAATCTAGTCAAATTAGTAGTTATAATATAATACATAACAATCCAAAAACGCATAGTAAATAGCAAACAAGAAGTCACACAACATAAGTCATATTCTATCATCGCTCGGAACTCACTTTTTCTATTGCTAACGATAAACAAAAGTTGTTTATTTTGATAAACGATAAAAAAGAAACAATTTAATGGATCTGACTGAAATTTTAGCAGCAATCTAGATAGAAGTGATGCCTTGTACACCACCTTTAAAAACTTATTGAACGATCCCTGTACCATTTAATGAGCGTGGGGATGAATTTATTTATGATCGAAGAACTGAACTTCTGAAACCAAGTTGACCTTACGATGGAAAGGTATATCAGGGCAGGAGATGTAAAATGTACTAGGGAAAGTTTGGTGCCTTGGGGTACACCGACGATGACGACTTGGAGGTGAGAAAGTTTTTCTGACGTGGGTTCGGAAGAACTAAATAGGAAGAAAAGATTTCATTGAACCTACAAGGTAGTGGGGACAATCGAGTTTCACTAATTTAAAAATAAGACTATAGTGTCAAACTGTATCAATGGCTTCTTTGATATCCAGCAAAAGTATAACACTGTGTTGGCATATGTTAAACTTATCGGCGATAAGTTCAGAGACGCGAAAGAGATGATAACACGTCCCATCTCGATGTCTAAAACCGTGTTGAAAGTCTAGGAGAATATTCTTCTTAATGAGTTTATTGAGACGGTTAATAATAATGATAGTTTCAGTAACTTTGCTTAAAGTAATGAATAAGCTGATGGATCTGTAGTTGAAAGCTTGATTGACGGGTTTGCCTGGTTTCGAAAAATAGATAGGGATAAATAGGGATAAAATCCATGTCAGGGTCTTTATTATTTTTGAAAAACTTGATGGCTTTCGACATGTTAGGTTTTTTAAGACTCTGTGACTTCATCATAAAAGGGCAATCAACGAAAATAACGAAAATAAGATTTAGAGTGCATTGCTCTTTTATGGAGTCGGCGAAGATTTTAGTCTTGTTTTCGCCAATGAAGCAACAAAACCCATTGCTCGAAAGCGAAGACGATGAGGGGACTCGGTTGCGGAGTAACTTAATTCTTTTCCAGGAACGTTTGCGATGTGATTCAGCTTTAACAATGTATTTATTGAATCTGGAGTTGCGAATGGACTGAAGGGCTAATTAGAGTTCGCGTTTAAATTCATTAAGTTTGGGACGAAGGGCAGGGTCACTGCAATGTTGCAAACACATTCTAAAAGAGTTCTTTTTCTGAATGAGGGAGTGAATATTGGGGGGTAAAGTGGACTTATTTTGCAAAATAGGGGTAGTGCTCCTAGAGAGTAGCACTGTTTCTTTAATTATCTAAGTTGGATTAGAGTTTCAATCGCAGTATCGATATCCGACATCGAGCGGATTTCACTACATTTGAACGAAGTGCGTTCGAGTCAGAGTCAGACAGTGCCAATCGATTTCTTTTATTTCAGTGGAAGCGTAGAGTGCTGCGCGACCATAAAATTTTTCAGAAGACCGAGATAAGATCGGAATTGAGAAGAGCGTGTTAATGGCTCTTTTTATATGGAGATATTTTTAGTTAGAAAAATATCAATAATGGTTGAGCATTTGTTTGGATCCTCAGAGAAGTGACTAGGAGACTAGAAGATCTACCGGTGTTTCGTTAATCGTTTTTAACTGATTGTCAGAATTCTCATCATCTGCGTCCATATTATCAAAATACCATATATCAATAAATTTTCAAAAATTTTATTCCTTATTAGAAATTCATTTGATAGATACATTTACATTTTATTTGCCTTCAGACATTACTCAAGAGAAATTATTAGGATTCTGTAATTAAGTTAGGCGTTGTATTGAAAAAGGAGATTTTTGTGTCCAAAGGCTACCACAAGAAATAATAGCTTATGAAATAGTACATTACGCTATTAGAGATATTAAGCTATTAGTAAAGTAGACCTTGTATTCACTATGTGAGGCGTTCACACAGTGCGTGTTTGCCTCTTTAATCCCGAATCACGTATAAACTTTTCCTGATATCCCCGTAAAAGAGTATTGTTGCATCCCCAGCAAGCAACACAAAAGGATTGATTCTCTATATATAAAGTGCATTGTATACACCAGATGTGCTGTTTTACCGCGTAAGACTAAGATGAGGTACTCTACTCTAAGCTGTCCATGAGGTTTTGTGCTCTCTGCTAAGAAGGCGTAGTTTTCTTTACACGAAGTATGTGGAAAACAGATTTATAGAACAATTTTTGTAATTTAGGTTACAAATTCTGCCTAATTAAGAAGAGATAAAATAAGAATGCAAGAAAGAAAAAAGGATGAAAATACTAGAATCCTCGAAAAGCTTTTTACAAATTCTAGTGATTTGTGTTTTCTTCTAAAGAACTTCTGATGATTGGGCGATCTATTAAACCCTTCAATACTAAAAAATAAAGATAGCATGTGCAATCTTCAACTTCTTACTTCTGTATTAAAGTTTGGTTACGTCTTTACCTTTTCCCAGACTTTGTTCACTGTGTTTTAAAAAACAAGTTACGCATTCCTCTATGTGTCACCTAATGCAAATACTACGAACAAATATCTACCAAATAAATACGAGGGTTGTTCAATAAATACTTAAAAAACCAAGATATATCGCATCAAAACTTATAATACGATAGCAAGCGTAACTCCTAACTAGAGTGCTGCCAAAATTTCAATCAGATTCATCAAGTGATTTCGTTTTTATCGTCGATCAAAATGAACAACTTCTGTTTATCGTTAGTAATGGAAAAAGTGAGTTCCGTGCGGTGATACATTTTTATTGAAAAGGTTTAACACGTAAAGAAATAAAAGCTGAATTGAATGGAATTCATAGTAAATCTGCCTCTTTGTTTGCAACTGTTCATATTTAAACTATGAGAGTTGCGTACTTTCTCTCCTCATTTATTTTCTCTCTCTCTGTCTCTCTCGTAGAGCTGTGGGACGTGCTTCGAGAGGGATTGGGATTTCTATAACCGGGGTTGGCTAAACTGGAGCGCAATACGTGTGTTCCGTTGTTTGGGAAAAACTCAACACGTGCGCTTTATGGTTCTACTCAGTCTTTTCTTACAAAACTTGATGGAGATACCACATTTAGACCGCTGCTGTTTACGGTCCTCTGACCCGAGTACTAATTATCACGGGAAATGTTCTTCCACCTCTAGTGTCGACAGGAAAATAAGGATAAAAGCCATACATCAGACAGACAGAGACCTCTGTCGATCCTCAACGAGATGTGATCTCTTTCTCTCTCTCTCTCAACTTGTGCGCTGATTTTGTTTTTGTTCTTTGATGCAAGTGTTTGGTCGAGCGCCTGCTTCTAGGGCCTCTTACTCTTTCGGCTGTGCCGTGTGCTTCCCTGAAATTTCAGACTTTAGTGCAAACAGCGTTGTGTATCCGCCCGAATTGGACTCTGACCAATAAAGCAGCTGTAGTGGTGCTCGCCCTGGCGCGAGTCCCGAATGCCTACCACCCACGCGGCTATTAGGCCCTTTTGGTTCACAAAGCAGCAAGGACTGATCATGTCTCCAAGACATCAGGGCTGCCTTCCGTAATATCTCCGTGGTACACACTTCCACACCATCGCTGTCGTAACAACGCATCAGCCGTTTTCTTGTAAGATCTCTCGACGTCGAATGTTCAACACCGTAAGTTTCGAAAGGTGCACGAAAGAAAGGCACTGCGTGCCTCTTGGCATTTAGTCATAGTTTTCTTGTAAATCATTGAATGGTACTGCGTATTTTCTAGCTTTCAGTGATTACTTATAATTCTCCTCAACTACCTACAACTAGGATTTTTTATGCCTATGCCAAGCCTTTCATTATTCGTTTAGATTTTTGATGAATCAAATCAGCCAATTAAAGGAATTTATAACATTATTAATTTATTACAATCCCCTTTTAACTATCGAACTTCGTTCGCGATTGAATATTAATGTACTATTTACATTAAAATACGTAAAACCAGTTTACAGCTGGATAAATGAGTTTAAACGACGCCCTGTAAAAGTGACTGTTCTAGAAATTCTTTTTTTCTTTTTTTTGTCGTACCAAGTTTATTTATAATCTGTCTTATATTTTAAGATAATAAGTAAATGTTATTGCTGTATGAAATATGTACATAAGATTTAGAAGAATACTCCAATGAGTATTCTATCTTTGTTTTAAAATGTGAAAAATAGATTAGGATATATTGATGCATTCATTTGTTCATGTTTCTCGAGTTTGATATTGGTAATAGATGTCTTGAGAAGTTTGCTGCTAAATTTATTTGGATGGTTATATATTTTGATGGTATATTTTTACATAGAATAAACGCAATCGTGCAATTGACTCTGATGCTATTTTGTCGCTTTTCCGATACAATCCTGAGAATTTTCTGCGTCGATACATAACTATCGATGAATATGGTTACACCACATACTCCAGAAACAAAGAAATTGTTAAAACAGTTGACTTTTGAAGGTGAACGGGATCCGAAGAAGGCAAAGACGGAGAAATCAACCGGGAAAGTGATGGCCACGGATATTTTGGCTGTATGCGGTATCATCTATGTTGATTATTTGGAAGAAGGAAATGACAATAACAAGAGAATATTATCCATCGTTGTTACATCGGTTAAGCAAAGAAATCAAGGAAAAACATCCTTATTTGGAGAAAAAAACGTCCTTTTTCATGAAGACAAAGCACGGGTGTACACCTACGTAGTTTTGATGGCAAAATTATGAAATTACAGTTCGAATAGTTACAGCATCCACCGTATTCACCAAATTTGACTCATAATGACTTTTTTTATTTTCAAACTTAAAAAAATGACTTGGTAGACGACCTTTTACGTCGAATTACGAAGTCATCGCCCAAACAAATGCCTATTTTGAAGTGCTTCCAAAATCTTAACGTCTGGAAAAATTTATAGAGCAAAAAAGAGATAAAAAAAGACATTTGTTTTTCTCTTTTTCGAAAGGCTTATTGAACGACCCTCGTATAATTTAGTTTGCCATTCCAACACTCGTCTGGGAGAGACTCATAATAATTAGTTAGGTAGCAAGATATCTGTCTTAACGTGCACAAATCTTTTTTGGGTCAAATCTAATGAAGTCTTCATTAAATTCGAAAATCTTTCCGTTTTATTTAGAGATACTTTTCAGTATACTTAAATTTTGAAAATAAAAAAATTTAATTTACGACATTACTAACGGTCTTTGTTTAATTGGGAATTTATTTAATCTGATAGCATTATTTTCTAATATGATTTTTTAACAAATTCTAATTAAAAAAAATTTATTCTTCCAATATTACAAATTCACTTAATAATCACTTAACCATATAGCTTACGTATTGTTCTTTCAAAATTGCTTTCGATAACTATATATATTTATAAATTCTTTGCACCTGTTAAATGTAGTTCTATGGTCACATAAATAGTTGATTAATCGGGTCGCTTTTATGGCAGACAACCGATAGGTGATAAAAAATAAGCAAAGGCATTGAGAAATAAAATAAAATGGTAATTTAACAACTAAAATAAAATAGATTTAGAAATGCAGAAGTTATTCGTTAATATTAGTTAGCGACACAGTTAAGATTCTCAGTCAGTTGATACCTATGATAGATTCGGCAAAGTCGGCGCATGATATGATTTCACGAAGAATTGTTGATTGTTCAGATGAACTTCCTCTCATCTGCAGAGCTAGTTTTAGATGAGGTCAAGTCTTCAAGAGAGACGAGGTATGAGTTCGTTAAGTCGCTTGCGCTTGTCCACATGTATACACACAAACGTATCCGTAAAATAAAAACTAGCGTTCATGTGTACGTCCGTACCTCGGTATATTTCGTCCGTTTACTATAGTGTACTAACATAAATTACAATCAATTTACCTTTATTTCCTTTTTTATTACTCTTTTTCCCTTATTTAATGTCGAAGAGTGTGAAATGTTAGTAATAATTATACAGGTTCTATATAATATTAATCTAATAGAAAATGAGAATTGATGAAAATCTTATCGATGAAAATATAAAAATATAAGTTATAATGATCATAATTAAGTTTTTTTGTTATCTCTTGTGTCTAATTCTGTAATGGTTCAGCTTAATTTCTTTAAATGATTCTTTTTATCCATAAAATCGATAGTTCAATTTTATGTTGATATATATCTCTGAACATTGCAAAACTATTCTTTTATATGCGTATCGATAAGTTGAACAAACAAATATATAAATGATAATATTTCAGAGATACCAGCTAATGAAATACTAGAATTGTTTGGAAAAATGTTTTTCGAATTTTGCCAAGACTCGGGTTATGATAAAATTCTTCAAGTACTTGGAGCAACGCCTCGAGATTTTTTGCAGGTATTGGTTTATTATTGAATAATTAATATGCGAATTTGTGCATATTTGTGGATAAAATTAAGGCATTGCTTTATTAGAAATTAGTTTTATGACTTCTGTGTAAAAAAAATCTTCCAGAAAAATTTGGCGAAAAACTGACTTTGATCACTATGCCAAACTTTTTACTTTAAATTTAAAAAAGCTTGAGAAAAATTCTAGCATATTTTTGCCAGACGGTTTATTTTTTTATTTTGTAAAGTTTCAGAAAAAAATTAGACTACGTTTTTTTCAGACATTTTACCTTACTTATACACTGTATGTTTTCCGACTTCAAAGAAGAACAATCGGTTTTGTATTTGTATGATATTCTTTTTATACATGAAAAAATATATTTTTTCAATCCATCACTACTAAAAAATAAAAAAACCAATGAAAAAATGTCTCATTCAGTATATTAGTACCATATAATATACCTTTTAAATTCCCTTTTATATTTAATAATTAATAAATAATTAGTTCAGAATAAAAAAAATTTCGATTATACTCGTATATGTCAGTCTTTATTATAAAATCAAAATTAAATCCAACATTAAAATAAATTATCTGGCATAGTGGTTAAAATCAGGCTTTGGCCATATTTTTTTGGAGCCACACTTGTACCAGACTCTTTTTCAGACGGATTATTGTGAATACTTATAACATGACATTTTTCTTTACTTGACTATTAAATTTAGTTTATAAATAAAATCAGTATTATTTGGTCATTTGCTATTTTCAATCTAATTTCCCGATTTACCAAAGCCATGTAGATTATTATACTTTACTATAAAATCGGGATGAAGTGACTAATGATCCCGTACAGTTTAATATGAAATTAGTAGAGCTTCATTTCATTAAATTTAATTTATCTTGAATCAATATTTAAATTATAGCTCGATCATTTGTATTGCGAAATTGATTAATAAACAGTTATGTCTGATATACAATAATGGTAATATTTTTAATAATACAGAATTTAGATGCTCTTCATGATCACTTGGGAACACTGTATCCCGGAATGCGAGCACCATCATTCAGATGTACGGAAAGATCAGAAGATGGAGCATTGATTCTTCACTATTATTCTGATAGACCTGGTCTGGAACATATTGTCATCGGAATAGTTAAGGTAATTTTCAAAGCTATCTTTCATAAATAAAAAATACAAATATTTCTAAAAGCTATATTTGAATAGAAAAAAACAATAATACGATTAGCCATGGTTAGATTGCTGTACTATATAGAATTCTGGCTTTTTGTAACAATTTATATTATATTTTTAGCTTGATTAAGTGATGAAGTATTAAGAGGTAATTAATTCATTACTAATTATAATCTGTTAAATATTTTAAAGTTCGTTTTTTAGTTTTATATTTCTGTGGAGTTACTCAAATTACAAAAGCATTTTTTAAGTTACTTAACGCCAAATTCGACAAATAGTGAACCGGCAATTGTATCCATTGGGCTATAATTTTCAATTGATCCTTAAAGGTCGATAATATAAAGGTTCTTACAAGATGTGTGTGTGTGTGTGTGCGCGCGCGCACACGTGTGTGTGTGCACCCGCATAACTATACAGTTTGATTTACTCTGACCTATGAGAGATTAATAAAGAACTTGCGCTACGACACTAAGCTTTAATGCATCTTTATTCTATTAGACAGTAGCGAAAAAGCTCCATGGTACTGATGTAGATATGCAAATTTTTAAAACTAAAAATGAATGCGATCATGTACAGTTTCTGATTACTGAACAATCAGATCCTGGTGTCGCCCCTAAACCTATGATTGCTGATCTCGAATGTCTTTCCGTAGGTAAGTTCAATATTTTGCTTTATTACAAATATTTTACTTTGATTTATTAAATATGTAATTAATTTTGTTGTTTAAGAACCAAAAGTTAGTCCGGCCACATTTTGTCGAGTGTTCCCTTTTCATTTGGCGTTTAATCGGGACCTAACTATAGTACAAACTGGATGCACTATCACACGAGTTATTCCTCAAGTTTGCAATGAAAACTGTAAATTAAACGATATACTGCTAACAGTAAGTTAAATATTTCACAATCAAACGTTCTTTTTATCACCAATACATAGAACTTAAACTTATCGTATAATAGATATCTTAGAATAATTTTTTTAAATTAAGTATGTAATGAAATATCTCATTCTATTGATTACATAAGTTTACAAGGTTTGTTGCAAGAATACCAGCAGCGCATCTCAATGCTTTTGATAGGTCTATAATTATATAATGTATTTTCTATGTATAACCTTGAATCTCTATACTCCAATTTTTTTAATCCTCGATCCAGAAACCTTGCTATTCGTTCCTTATTCCTGCAGTTCTTGAATTTAAATTCTCGTTACTCGTTAACCCGAACCCAACCCACTTTTCGTAATTCCTCGAGTCCGGTCACCTGCAATTCTATAACCCCATACCTTAACTACTTCAAAGCTAGAAATTTTCCTTCTCAGTACACAACATTTCTAAAATAATCTACGGTGATGCTTTGATTAAAAAAATGTTATGATGTTTTTCTTGTGTGAATTAATATACAAAGTGAGGATAAAAGATGGAGACATCTGAAGATTTTCTGCGGAAAATTTGTAAACTTCAATGATGTTTCTTTTGTAATTTTTTCCATTCTTTTAAATAAAGTATTCAGTCTTTAGAATTAATCCTATTAAATATGAGGATTACTTTTATTAAATAATTAGACGCTAATTAAAAAAGAGACTATAGTTTATTCATACAGAGAAATTGGATATGAGCGAATTGACGGTTAACAGAAGTGTCACTTGAACGAATTAAGAAACCGAATTAATTCATTGAACGCGATTACCTTAAGCGAAGTTCAATTGTAATTATATTAATAGACTCGTCCGAAGAGATTAAAGTATAGTAACGTAAGTTGATCGATTCTTTCACAACAATTTCAAAGATAATAAACGTATTTCCTTGTTATCGTTGCTACGATACTGCTACCAAATTGTCATTATTTTAAAGCATTGTTGCACTTATATATAAACAATATGATTGTGTTCGGTGTTCTGGACGGACGTGTTCCACTCGTATACCTGTATAAAGGTAACAGGCCCGAGACTCGGCACACACCCTTGTTGGGATGGATGCTGCGTGTCGTTTGGGCCGTCGCGGCGGCGACGATAGCGATGTCAAGTGAAACTCCTAAACTTTGGTTTGGCTGACGACTAGGAATGTTGCTAAGGTAAGTCTTAGCAGCCTTTAGTCTAGAATTTTGTAAGCCGCCCTTTGCGTCATTTTCATATTATTTATATTTTCATATTATTTATAATCTATTATAATTTTATTTTTACTAAATATTTTAACTAAAGAATTAAAATTTTTTTTTAAAGAAGATATTTTAACTAAAGAATTAAAGTGTAATTATAATATAAGTATTTATTTTTTGTAATACTACCACTCAACCTCACCCCTTTCAACAGTAGGCCCCACGGTATGACAACTATGTCTTCGGCTCTGTCGATTTTTATTTTGTGTAGAATACACAGAATAATAGAGAATGAAATTGATAGATAATGATAGAGAATGAATAATAGAGATGATGGAAAAGCATAGAACTTGATTGTTTCCCTTGAGGCTGTAAAGGCGTCTACAGCTATAGAGACGGGATTTTTTTTTCACGATATATATTGTTCGCACTTTTTATTGCCTTTTGAAGCATATAACTCTATTTTAGGGTCATCGACACGTTCCAGGATTTGTTAAAATGCGTAATCTACAAACTCTCATTTCGTATCTTTAAATTGGATGCGCGATTCGTCTGTTAAGGTATTCTTTTCAGTATTTATGTACGATGCGAATGTCCAGATATCACGTTTTTCGTACCATGACCAAATTTCACTACTTAAGCGCGCTAGTTTTTCATTTTGTACACCACTCATTTTGTTTATGTTAGCGATCGCAGTCATGTTGTCTACGTGCAGCAAGATTTTCAAAAAGTTTATGTGTTCTACCAAAAGTTTATGTATAGTTCAAAAAATGTTATATATTCTTCTATATTGTTTTCGACCCATCATCCATTCATACGTTCGCCTTCACAGACTGCAATGCAGACTATTAAGGACGTGTCTATATCATAAATGCTTGCCATAAAAATTATTTTTTCCTATAAAAGCAGTAGTTGTTTTCTTATCTTCCATCTGAAAGTAATGGAATTTCATTTATTGATTAAAGTTTTCCAAATTTAAAATGAAACGTTTACTGTCATAGGATATGTCTCAAAAAAAAGGAAGAAACAAATCGATTTTTGTACAGTTTACATTCTGATATAGCTTCTTTTTCAATTTTTGAATCAGTTGTTATATAACTAATTTGCAATGATTAAAATATGACTTAAAAAATGTAGGTTTATAGGAATGTGTTTTTGTATTACACGAAATTTATGGGGATTTTATAACTTTTATTTTATTCGTGAATAACTTTGTCATTGGTTAATTTTTGCTATTCAGTTAGAAAAAATTGCTTAAGCGTCAAGCAATTTTACTCCTATTTATCGATGGAATCAGTGTTGATGATGTTGAGGACGTCTCTCACATGAATGATGTTTCTATTGATTCATTTTCAAATATTGCGACTGATACGACTGTTGGTATTGCCTTTTGGTAGGGCTTCTAGAGTTTAAATAGTTAAAAATTGTAACGCGGGGAATGATGTGCAAATAGCGACATTAGTTTAAACGCGTGTGAACATAAAATATTATTGTAATTAATAATGTGTCTTAGTTATTAGAAAAAAGGATTTCGTGTTCATGGGTGCCGGTCAGAATAGCCACAATAATATGTAAATTCTACGTCAGTCATCGTCATTTCGACTGGCATCTCCTTCGCTAGTTCGTCTTTCATGACGAGCATGATCGTTGCAAAGTATCATGCAAACCATGAGCTCTACAGCTTGGAGGTTTTCACCGAGACTGTTTTGACCTCCTTGGAATGGTCGCACAGTTCGGATATCGAGCAAGAGTGAAACCGAGACTGCCCAGCAACCCATGAGCAGGGCAAGAGAAAGAGTGATTGCGTGGGTTTATTTTGGACCTCAAAGGCAATACCTACGACTATGATGCTACGGAGCAGGGAGCGCGCAGCAAAACAAGGGGTGGGCCACTGAGTGAGAGGGAAAAACGAGAAAAATAAATACTTGATCTCGAGTTCTCGAACAAGCAGGTTCCGCTATCATTATTCTTGTGAGCGTTTAAAAATTTATATGTTCTACCAAAAGAATTTTTTTAATAAATAAAATTAATGTATCTGTTCTAATAAATTTTTACTTTTTGCCTAAAAATTTATCAAGTTCATTCCTGCTCATAATAACCCAGATTCGGGAAAAGCGGGAAATTCTACGTTTAAATGATGTATCATATATGGGTTCAGTTGAACCAAGATCATTTTTTTCTCATTCTTTGCACCTAAATGCTTCGCGAAAGGTGAGGTTTAACAACAAATTTCCAAATAAAAGTTACTTGATTAGGAAGGGGCATATTATGATGACCTTGGCTCTGACCTTGAGTGTTATTTTCAAGGTTATTTCAAGGTTATCTTTAGTTATTTTACGGAAAACACTTAGTTTTGAACTTCGATTCTTTTATAGCGAAAAATTCTAGAGTCAAATAAGATATTCATTATCTGGTATATATGATAAATCATAAACGTAGAATTTCCCACTTTTTCCGAATCCAGGGTCAAAAATAGAAGTTCCTAATTAAAAAAACAAAGTTGACCTTGAACTAACCTTGAAAGATTCCTTCAAGGTCACAGGCAACGTTACTATAAAATGCCCCGCTCCAAGTCTATAGTACATTTTGCCTTAAACATTTTTCGCTAAACTTTACCTGGGCAGAAATATTCGGGTGGAAGGATTGAAATGGCTTATTCTGTATAAGCTAAATTACAGATTCAACACCGAGTAATTTTGCTTGGGCGTCAATATTGCTTGCATCTGAAACCGACAATATTATATATACCCTACCTACGAATTAGCAATAGTAGTATATCGTTCGTTATTCCGTTTGATGCTCATTAGAATGACAAACCATTCAAATTGACTGTAACTAGGAGATGGTCTACCGCATCGCATAATCCATTGTTCACATCATTTCGACCTGTTCATTGATGAAGTGATTGTCTACGTGTATTCTGATCGCGAACCCTATCGCGCGAATCATAAGAACGTATGGAGCCCAAACTAAAAAAACTTGAATAGGAGTTACTTCGGGTGGATAAGCGTTTAGCGTGTATAAAAACAATAATGATGTTTATTCCTATCATCCTTGCGATGATATCCTCTATGTCGAGAACGACGACGATGTTTTGTCGATGAATATATATATTTGACTTACCAGGTTTGTTAGGATCGCACAATAAAATATAATGATAATCCTGTAGAAGTACCAATGATAACAAGGAAATGCGTTGTTATCTTCATAATTATGGTGAAAGAATCGAGCAACTTACGTCACTATACTTTAATCTTGATAATAATCTTAATATAATTCTTCAAAAAGATAATATTATTCGAAATCTTATTCGAAATGCTGTATAATGTTTTTACAACAAAATAGAATATTGCCAGGAAATTATTGGACGACGTATTTAATAAGAGTAATGAATAATCCATATTAAAAAAATGTAAAATATACCCCAAAAGAGGAGAGGCAAGAAAACTCACAAATTAATAAAACAGCTCGAATCATGAGAAGCAATGGGACCTTCTATGTCCACATAGTTGTTCCTGGATAGTGCTGAAAGAAGGATATCCAATAACCTGGACCAAAAAAATAATTTTTGCTAAATTATTAGAAAAAAGATATTATTTAGCTTCAAAATATTTATTCAATTTTATTAAATATCTTATGACAATATGAAATTTCATCAATTGGAAATTATCAGTACAGACTGATAGTTTCCTGAACATTTATCAAGTTAGATCGGATTTGAATTTGTTTATAGTATTAGATTCGAAAACTAAATGATCCACTCTAAAGAACGGAAAAAATTACAAAAGAAACATTATTAAAGTTTACGAGACGCTATTTTCTGCAATAAATTTTTAGGTATTTCTATCGTTTTTCCCCACCTTGTGTAATTAAATATTAAAATATATATTTTTTATAAAATATATATTTAAAGTATATTCATACAACACTAGCTAGATTTGTAAATATTTGGAATAAATTTCTATATGACGTTTAAACAAAGATAATTAGAATTTTCAAAATTTTTGTTTTTATATTGTTATATTAATATTGAAAGCTTTGAAAAATGCAATCTTTACATTCTTAGGTAAGGCCGCATCTTGAATTGACTTTCGAAAACATTCTTTCTCATATTAACACTGTATACGTACTCAGAACGAAAAATGGCGTAATGCAAGTTGATGCATCTGAAGAATATTCTTATTTGCGTCTCAAGGTAATTATGATGCCATGTGCTTTTAATAATTATTATGCCGTTTTAAAAATAGTAAGATGAAGGTGAAATTTTCTTGTTATATTTTACTCCGCTGTTTTAATAATCATAATTGAATTTGCTGATACCTTATGAGTTTCAATCAGCTATATGTAATTGAATACTGATTATAAAGTTTAATTAAATTTATTTCAATTAACTTCAAAAGTTATGTCATGTTACCGCTTCTTCCATTTTCAATTTTAAAATCTGCCATCAAAAGAAGCTTCTATATCTTATGCATCTTTTAAAGTAAAATCAAGTTTGTATCTAAATAATAATTAAGTAGCTGTTACTTTAAATTAGTTGAAAATAGTCACACATATTTTTTGACAGCAAATCATGTAAGTTTCAAAATAATATAAGTAAATTTTACTAAGGATTTTATTTTCTATTTATTAGTTCAGTTTATATTTAAATTGATAATATATTTTTCAAATTACTAATTGATTACAAACTCGTTTTTCTGATATTTCCTTCGTTCTTTCATAAATATTATATAACAAGTGTATTCGTAATATTTATTTCTCATTGCATCAATACTAGGGTCAAATGCTATATGTACGTGAATCAGATTTAGTCATCTTTCTGTGCTACCCCAGTGTGATGAACCTAGATGATCTAACAAGGTAAGATGTTTTAAAAGTCATCAATAAGATCTAAAAAATTATATGGTTTTTTTTCTGAAGATTTATATGTATAATTCTTTTTTTCTGCAATTGATATTTTCGAATAATACAATTATTTAAAAAATCAATAATTGCAACTTTTAAATTCTAATCTAAATTTAATTACAATAAGTTTAATTATTATTTTCACCAAAATGGTTTGTTTTACTATGTGAATACATCATTTTATGAATTGATGATAATCTATAAATGTTATAACTGTTATGTAATTCAAAGTGATCTGATTAAAATAGAAAAAAGAAATATTTTTAAAGTTAAGTGCCAATAAAAATTGTATGTAAATATATTTCTTGGATAATATATTATTTGAGTTAAGTATGAAATGAAAACCAATAAATAAAGAATACAAAGAAAAGATCGAGACCGTAAAACATCGACTGTCGTTTAAGAGAATCCATAAATTTATTCTGGAAGTAAAATCTAAAAGCATATAATTTAAGAAAAGCGATAAAAAAATGGTGAAGGAAGATAAAGAATAAATGTGAGAGAGCGAGATTCAGGGAAAGAGGGAGGGTAATTGTGGTAGCTTTGCGTCCTCTGTAAACAAATTTAACCCTAATTGGATCTGCTCCATTATCAAGCTTGCTGTGACCGCGATTAGTTGCATTTGTAACGCGATAGGAGGAAGATGAAAGAAACGAGAGAAGGAAGAGGGAGGCAAGCTAATGTAGTACTTGGCTCATTAACTCAATATTAACCTTGGCACTTAACACAACCAGCTTGACGTTTACCCTCTCGCTTGCCGGACACTTGAACGGTCTAGACCTACGTTACCGTGAATAAATTAAGTCTTTAATGACTTTACGATATAGTCATAGTGCACTCGCAGACGCAGGCAGAACTGAATTTATAAAATTATACTCTATTATCTTTAAATACAACTTTATAAACTCTTTCAGTTAGTCTAATTTATCACATTGGAAAAACTATTATTCTTAGCAAATTAATACTCGCAATACGAGTATTATTTCTGACATGTGTATCAGAAGTGTAACTTTCTCTGAATCCGTTCTCAAATTGGACTTTAATGATATTTTAGGAGAGGTTTATACTTGAGCGACGTGCCATTGCACGATGCGACGCGCGACTTGGTCCTAATGTCTGAACAATTCGAAGCTGACTATAAGCTGACAAGAAACTTAGAACTGTTGACAGACAAATTGCAGCAAACATACCGTGAACTCGACGGAGAAAAACAGAAGACAGATAGGTAAGCATTTTTTCCTTTACTACTCTATCGTCGAAATCAAAATTAATGAATTATATTGTATTTTCGATTATTTGGAGACTGGGTATTTAGAATTGAGAAATAATGGGATCGAGTAGAAAGTATAACGGATATCAGGGTGTCTTTTTTTCTCTTCGAAAGATCTTGATTTTCTATTTCACTTTATATTTTAATTTCTAATTAAATACCTCATGAACTTTATTGACATTTAATCTTTTGCCAACAGATTATTATATTCCGTCCTACCAGCATCCGTGGCGAACGAGCTGAGGCATTCACGACCAGTGCCGGCTAAAAAATACGACTGCGTTACACTTTTATTTTCCGGTATTGTAGGCTTTGGAGCCTACTGCGCTGCCCATACAGATTCTAACGGAGCTATGAAAATTGTTAGCATGCTTAATGAGCTTTATATAGCATTTGATGTATTAACAGATCCTATGAAGAATCCAAATGTCTATAAGGTATATATAATTTTACAAATGATTTATCCATCAGATTACATATTAATACTCGCATCATTAGTATAAAATTTGAGTAATTAGTCGTGTGTCGTACGTAATAGTTACTCATGTGGACTAATTTCCATTTCTATCTCCAATACTATATAATGAATTCTGCTGTGGAATGGACGCTGTATTAAATAATAAGTCCTCATTAAACGTATATTCTGTACAACAGTTAAAAGGAATCTTTCCTAAAAAAGGGAAGCCTAAAAAACGCCTATTGAAGCTATATACAGCACTTTTACGGATACAGTTTTAATGGCCCTTATAATGTATATCAATTAAAATTTATTACGTGAGTAGGAACTTTAAACTAATCATTATACTGTATGATTAGGAGATAGAAAATACTTTAAAATCAGATTTATGTACTTTGAATTATCAGTAGTATTATTGAGATATGAAATAATATATCACAATTTATTTGATTGAATAAAATTTTATCATTTCGCATTTGTTTCTGTGAAGTAACATTGAAACAATTAGTGATTCTCATTCGGAAATATTTTGCTCAATTGTTGAATAAAAATGAATGGTAGCTTGCATTATCCGTGGCACTTTTTGAATAGTTCAAAAATTATGACAGGCATCGTGCGGTGAGAGAAAAAGTGTAGTAACGATCCAAAAAAACATAAGCGACTTTACTTTCATATAAGACTTCAATATTCCTTTCTATTATTCTATTGACTGAGTCTGGTTTATTGATTAAATTTGAAATGTCATTTGTCTCTTCTTAAAATCAGATTTCTTAAATATTGCGCAGAGTATAAGTAAATGAAATAACTTAGAAAAGAAAATTATTTGCATATAAAATAATGCGTTACTTTCGTTTTCATTGTCACGTCAATATTATTAACGTTAGAGTTAAACTGATAATAGATTCATTTTTTTCAGAACTTTGATTATATTTGTACATTAAACAGAAACAATAATATAATTTAATTGAAAATGATTAAAAGTACAGTAATATCGGGTTAGTTAGAGTAAAATCTTTTGAATGGTCCATAGGTTGAAACCGTAGGTGACAAGTACATGGCAGTGAGCGGATTACCAGAACCCTGCCGCTGTCACGCTCGCTGCATAGCTCGCCTCGCTCTAGATATGATGGATCTCGCGACCCACGAGGTGAAGATTGATGGAGAGCCTGTGGTGAGTTAAAACTATTCACGTTTTTGTATGTGCCATTTTCTACCCACAGGCTTTTTTTTTAGTATACTCTCAATCAGTTTTACGCTTGTTGAAATGAAACGAGATTTTATATTTTTTGTTCTGGATAGCCTATTAAAAATGAATTATGATGGCTAATATTTTTTATTAGAAGAGTTTTTATTTCAGTTTTAATAACGACTATACGAGTACGATAATAAATGGTTGACGTAGTTGTTTACATAATAAAGAATTGTGAATCCTAGTCAAACAACTTTTAAATGCAGGATTAATATTTTAGTAATTCGACGTTCTAATTAATGAGAATTTATTACAATTTGTACTCTGATTCAATAACAATTATTAATAATTTCTTGACAATTAAATTTTAACGATTCTAATGAATTGATTGAAATTTACTATTTTACTCGGAATTTCAAAATGATTTCTCTACATTAGCAAGATCAAGTGGACTAAGCAATCTTTTTTAAAAGAATATGAAATACAAATAAGTCTAACTATCTATTATAATATTAGCATAAATTTATTTAAATTTACATTCTGTTTATTGCGGCAACTGGCAAATAATTTTTCTGAACTTTCGTGAAAAATAATGAATTTTGAGCATTGATATCATATGAGCGACATTTCTAATTAATAACTGTTTTTTTTTAATGATGAGAATAAGAATTAAACATTTTTTTAGCTCATAGCCTTTACTATACTTACTATTCAGAACTTTCGTACTTGTACGGTTTGTAATTATAATTAAAACACATTTGAATTTTTAGATAATATCAGAATTGAACTAAAAGTTAGCATTCAGATTTGTTTCGAATTAGTGATAAAATATTATCATGATTAAATGAATTGATTACTATTTTTAATCATTTTAAGATCGATGATTCACGTAAACTGACAAGTACATGTAGGATTGTCATATTTTAGGAATATAGAGGATTTAATCAATTATAAATTCATTTTATTCGTTTTACTACTTACTCTGTGAAATTTGTACATATTGTAAAAAATTTTGCATTTACAGAAAATAACTATTGGCATACATAGCGGCGAAGTAGTTACCGGCGTTATTGGGCACCGCATGCCTCGCTATTGTTTATTTGGCAACACTGTTAATCTTACTAGCAGAACGGAAACTACAGGAGAACCTGGGAAGATCAACGTATCTGAAGATGCTTACAGGTAGGTAATCATTACACAATCTCCAAGCGATCTGGAGTCAATTTGAATATTGATTACAAATTAGTAGTGCCAATTTCGCGACGTAAATTCTAAAAATCTCATGCTTTAACGAAATAAGATTAATTTTCCAAATAGAAGTCGACTATAAATGGATATTTTACAATTACTCTCAAAGTTATTCTTCATAATGAAATGAACTTGCTCACTTCGAAATCAATTGAACCATTCCAGAGATATGCGTAGATATGCATAAAAATATTCAGGTTGTATACAGTACTTGGCTCTTGTATGTAGTCTGCATCAACTATGCCCGAATCGTAGTAGTAAGTTATATTGCGTCTTTAGAAATCTGGCGTTACAAAATGCAATGCGCGAGAAGTTATTATCATTCTTAAGTTTCCAATCTTGAAACTTTCAACGTTTCTTAGAGGTTAGAGGTTGTTGTATTTCTTCTCGCGATATATTGAAAATGAAAAAGATTTATTCTACTTTGTTCATTCTATTCTGTTTGTTCGGGACAAATTGTGGAGAAGGAATCACATTTACAATTAAGTACAAAACTAAAAATGTATACGTGTTTGGCCCTGGATCTATCCGCAGGACTCGTAACAATGGCTATTTATGAAGTAGAGTAGTGTGTTCTATTTATGAAAAATGAAAAATGGCTACAAGGGTGTCACGTATTCAAGAGTAATGTGAATAATTTAGTTGATATTGAGGTTAATGCTCGTCGCCAGAAATAGTAATAATAAGAGAGCAGCAGTTGAGACGTGGTTCAGTCGGCCATCAAATCTAAGTAATCTTGAAGTGTCTGTGGAATTTGCAACTGTCGAATGCCGTGCGGTAGAGTCCAATTATCGTGGAGACACTGTCTTATTTGACACCTGCAGAGATGCTTCAACTCGGGCGGTCGCAATCCCGTCCTTTCCCGGGGTAGAATATCTCTGCTGGCTAGATTGGGATACTGCTCGAACACAGAAACGTACTGGATGCCGCAAGTTTCGGCCAGGTGGCTTGGCACTTTGACGTAAACGTTGGGAATTGTACGCAGAAGTAACTTGAGGCATAGTAGCAGCTGCTCTGGACATTTAACATCTTCCTCGTACTCGTTCAGCCGCGAGAGCAGAATCTCGATAGGCGCCGGGGCAAGCATGTCATTCTCCGTAGACGCGCCGTACCGCAACATTATCAGTAGGATGTCCGGTGAACCGTTTTGCACGGCAACGCGCAGAGGTAGCACTTGTCCGTACGATTCCATTGGTACGTCGATGAATCTGCGCCAATGATAGATTTTTGCATTCGTGTTATTTAGTTTTATTCACATTTTACTATTTATGACGAATTACGAATTGTTATATTTACGGACCGTCTTGTGGACGTCAATCTTGGGCAATAGTATTGCAGTCGGCCTTCGATCGCGTGATTAAGGAAATACATAAAAGCGCTGAGATTTTCCTCTCTATCCTCGAAGTCACTTTTCCAGCCAGACAAAAAGTGCGTAACTCTTGTTCCAAATATCGCACCAACGACTATTCGCTCAAAGGTTTTTTCACAAAAAAACATATCGTTGAGAACCTTCGATACTACGTCATTGTTTTCGAGTCGCCAGTCGTAGCAGAGCTTCGCCGCCACATAAAGGACATTATGAAATTTGCCAAGCATGCAAACCGAGCCATTGTCAGCCATGGAGATATTGTGGTAACGTAGTGCCGCCCTTACTATTCGCTCGCAAACGTCAGCGGTATCTATTTTTTCAGCTGAAATTCACATCAAAGTTCTCATCATTGTGTCATATTTTGTTCAACATTAATGAACAAGTATTATACACGGTATTTAAGCAATGACCAGAAAGTATTACACTCCAATAAATATTATCAAAGCGAAGCCTTCTTTACTTATCAACGATTGTTACGCTCACCTGCAAAAACTAAATAATATGAATGCAAATGCGCGCTGCATTAATTTTGAATCAACCTAAACTAAAAAGATCTTTTTTATTATTTTTACTTGCACACTTATTGCAGACAATATTCAAAACAAGTGCTACTCGATGTCATTAAAATTTTGTCTAGGTTACCTCTGTCATAATTTTTTGAATAAATAAGACAATTATTTCAAATTATTGACATCTCAAAAATATAATTTTCATAATTGTACAACGTAAAATGTTCTAAGATTATTTTGAACTAAGGAGTAAATTTAATATGCTTATGAACTAATTCTATTTCATGAGCATTTAAATTATAAGTATATTGAAAAATAACTTATTAGTATTTAAAGCATGAAACTTTGATTCTGTTTATACTAACTTAAATCTTCTTGTCCTTGTTCAAATTACATACTTGCAAATACCAACTCGAACATTACATACTTTGATTATTATTTTACGTGTCTAAAACCATACTTTTAACTGTAAAAAATATTGCGTTGTAGTTATTATAATAATTTCGTTTGCTAACAAATATACCGAAAAATTCAAAATATACTTACGCAGCAATATAATGTGTGCGACGAAATATTATACCTCAAAATATAATATTTAAAAACTATACCTTTTGAGCAATTGTTGATGACTTCAGAAAAGTATTTAACCAAATGTCTACGTTTATGTCGTGAAGCAAGACTGCTTCTTTCCATTCCTTCAAAAAGTTGATCAAAATAACAATCTATTACTACCTCCATAATTATGCGCTTCAAAATACTCAAAAATTTTAGTTTATCGTCCGAAGACTCGTCACAAAATGTGCTAGGTGCGGTGAAAACAGCCGCCGGTGCATAGTGTCTATAATTCAATTATCGGTACTAAGCAAGCACTTGTAGAGGTTCCTTACCTCTCACCCTTTTCAGGGTAAAGCTTTTGTTTGCCGGTAAGACATTGACATTGAGATAGGTCAAGGTACATTTGAATTCTACGATTACGATAGAAAAAAGCAAGAACCTCTATTAATTTGATCAATTTCATAAATTTATATCTTATTTAAAATTCAAAAAACGGAGTTAAATTAAAAAGAAATATTAATCTTTTCACGAAACTTATTATATCATTGAATAATGCAAATTTTCTTATCTTTCCAGGTATCTATGCTTACCAGAAAATCAAGACTCACAGTTTCTATTAGAATACAGAGGACCAGTAAATATGAAGGGAAAATCAGAGCCAATGAATGTATGGTTTCTTTCAAGAGAAAGAGAGTTACCCGTATAAAGAATTATAAATGTTTACAGCTTACTCATAGATTATTGGTTCTAGTTTTCAGTGTACTGAGATGATAATTATCATAGAGAAATATATACGATGTTAATTATTTTTAATACCTTAAAAAGCAATAATTTCTATTTTGTGCGTTTTGAAATAACGCCATCTACATCAAATGATTATATTAGATAGATAAATCATTTCGACATTGATAAAAATTATGTGTGGATCATTATATAGAATAATTTGAAATAAAATACTTTCCGTTAAATGGAAACCATGTATACTTTAAATATCACTTTAACGTGAATTTAGTGTAATCAAAATGTAGACCGCCGAAATGGTTATTGCTATCAAAAAATTTTGATAAGTTTGTCTAAGCTAAAATAAATATTAAGTCTTTTAATTTAACAAAATTGATAAAAACTATTTTTTTAACTCGGTTTAAAATCTAAGTGTTTTGGTAACAAAGAACATTGACTATTTATTGGAACCCTAAATGTAGATAAAAAATAAACTATTAAACTACTGGTTGAAATAAATGCACCAGTTCAAAAGTAATTGTATTATTTAAAAATTGAAAGATTTTTATTATACAAAATATTTTTAACTGATAAAAATATCAGATCATTATTAGAATACAAGTAAAAAGATATTAAGTTTTCGGTTACATAAAGTCATAGTCAACTTTAAAGTTAACGTATTATGCAAAAATACATACACACTATTGTATTGTATCGCTATTGTCACTACAACGATTACTTTGAGAGTCGATATTTATAAAACGTAATAGCTGTAATTTCTGGAAGTTGTATGATATATTATTAGTTATCGTATTATTTTGTTATAAGGCTAATGAATTCTCTCTAATAATTACAAAATTACACATTTAAATATAACTAGTACAGTAGACTTCTCAAAGAAATTTTTATCAATTAAGGACGTTCTCTTCTAACAATCAAGTTAAAAAGTTTACTTTCGAGAAAATATTTTGTTAACAGCATCATTATATTAAAAACCTTTCAAAGACAATACATAATCATTATAATATGACTAAATTGTATGGAAATAGTGAAAAAATCAATAAAATTATAGTATGTCATAAATTTATGCGCAGTTAAGAAAAATCTCAATCGCTATTACTGTTGAATAAGCACCGGTGTCCATATTTTTCATTATAGCATTCGATTCCCTATAATCGTCAAAATAATCAGAATAACATTAGTTTTTCAAGAAATATAAAGAAAACTGATTTTACAATCAAACAAAATATAATAAATATGTAACTCTATTTGATGTGTGTTAAAAAATCAAACTTTGAAGATAAATATCTCGATTTTGAATACGGTTGCATAGTTTAATTTTTTCAGCTGTATAAGTAATAACACAAAAGAAATTATTTTTAAAAGTTTGAAGAAAATCTAAAGAAAAGTAATTTTTAAGAGAATGTCCTTCAATCATTTAAATCTTTTAAAATAAATTTCGGCACATGTACGTTGCTAAATATTTGTTATGGACTTTTTTCTTTCCAAGTACAGTATATGATTTTTGGCTCACTTCTTTGAGTAGAATGCCAACTAAAAATAAGCATTTCGTAGATATATATTACTTTTTCTACGGCACACAGGTTGGTAAAAAATCTGTAATCTCATCTACGTGTGTCTTTTCCAATTAGCAACATGCATCTGATTAGGCAAGTTGTGCGTTATCCTATAATTATTGTTGTGCTATTGACAGTTGTATTTTCATTTAAATATATTGATTTTGGGCTTTTTCCCACCATTCACTGCGGTTTTTATGACTCTATAGCACAAAATAAAATAAAATGATTCAAACCAAATTAAAAAATATAAACTGTATACCTCAATCAATCATTTCTGCTCACTCCGTCCTAAATACCATTTGAATATTTATAGTATGAAAAATTAATTTTACTTTTGATTTTAAGCAAAACCTAAACAAACTTTTCAAATTTATATTTTAAGATTGTTATTAGTATCAATCTCGTTTCGAAAAAATAAATACAAAACGGAGGTGCCATAATTGTGTGTGGGGGGGGGGCGCTTGTGTGGGAATGCTATATAAATCTCTGTCCGATTTGGAAAGCTTAAAAATATATGTGTATGTTACAAAAGTACTGTTGAATGATGTTTCTGTAGTTAGTTCAATTCAATTCATAACAATAAAGATATATATATAGTAGAATTTTGAATAGTTATAAGGTGTGGCATTAAAATATATAGAGAAGAGGATTAGTCAACGGCTATATTTATATTATTTTGCTAATTAAAACATTCAGCAATTTACTACATACATGGTGAATATTTGTTTTTTTTTTAATTTTATTTATTTAACGTTGCATCCCCCTAAAAGAGTATTAGCGACCATTACAGTTTTTATAACAATAATTTTATGGGGATATATATATGGAGATAGTACATATGACTGATTTTACTATTGGAATCTTAAGTTAATAGAATCAATAAATTTGATAACATTATTACAGAATTTTGGTTCACTTAATAATTTGCTTATAGGAAAATTGGTCAGCTTGTGTTCTCTACTAGCTTTGTTGAATCGAGGACACTGTACTGAAATATGCTTGAGTGTGACCGATATACTGCAGTACTCATGCATATATGGTTCTATTGCTTTTATTCAGAATATGCTCGTATATTAGTTTGGTGTGACCAGTGCGAAGCCGAGTTCATAGGACTTGGTCTTTTTTTTCAGCCTATTTACCGGGTTGATACCACGGATGTTATTTTTAAATATTTGTAAATTATTAGGGTTATCATTTTTTCACTGTACATTCCATTCATCATTAATTCTTTTATTTGCTAACATTCTGAAATCCTTTTGGTTGAAATATATATTCGTTTCTGGAAAGTTTAGATTAAAAGCTAACTCCACGTATTTTTTAAGTTCCTTAGACTCTGTTTCACGTAAGAGAGATATTGTTTTTATGAGTGTTCAACTTATGGATAATGTTATGTATGCTTGCGCTTTTACATTTACCGAATTCTATTGATTAGATTAAGTCTTGATTGTCAGTGTGTATAATATATATGGTGTTTGAAACTTTCTATTGTTTTAAGTATTAATACTTCTAAGTATATTTATATGCTCAACTACTCTGGACATTTCAGTAAAATTTATTCATAATTGTGGAGGATAGCTGTTGCGCCTATTTTATTGTCTTGTTTTTTTTTTAAATAATAACTATATGTTCGTATTCTGGGTATTCGATTTTAATTTGAGTTAGTGGATGTTTGTCACTAATCGTAAATTTGTTGATTTTGGTACACCATCTCGCGTAAAAGTATAAACTATTGACAATATATCGCGGAAATTTTGGCAAGTAGTAGAAAGTATGGCGGATATATTTGATATATATTGGCAATTTAAATTGAAATACAATTGCCAACATTTATCTTGAATAAGATTAGCGATATTTTGCCAATAGTTGCAAAATGAACCAGATTTGTAACGACTATTGGCAATATATTAGCAATAGCTACAATGAAAATTACTCTGGAATTCTTTGGCAATATAAGCTTAATTTTTTAGTAGTACCAATTCATAATTAAAAACAATTTTTTTATTGAATTTGAATTTATTCATTGATAATACGAGTATATTGCTCAAAATAGAGTTAATAAATATTAGCTTTGTCGATTTGTTTATTTTATTGTATATTACATAGCGTATAGATCAAAAGTATGTACCTGAATCGACAATAAATAATAATTAGAGTGAAAAAATGTGTTTATATTTTCAAAGGTGTTTTATTCTTATAACTTATTCGTTTTTAAGGGTGTTGATCGGTTCTATGATGTAGTCGTAATTTACGTGTTCAACTCGTACATAAAAACAAGCACTTTTCAATTTCTTAATATCAATAAGTTTTAAATAAAAAAGAACGCACTACAAGCACAACAATGTACCATTCAGTAAGTCAACTGAATTTGACCCGAACAATCGCACACTTTTCTACAATTGCAATTCGTCACTCGTAGAATTTTGTAGAATTTCGAAATTTTTGAATTTTTTATTCATATTTGACATAAGAAGACTCTGTCTTTTTTCTTTTTGACTTTTTTCTGATATATATAAAATATTATTTATATACACCTTTGAAATAGAAACACATTTTTTTCACTTTAGTTATTATTTACTATCAGTTCAATTATATACTCAGACCTTTTTTATCGAGAACTAGTTACAAAAATATGTTATTTCCAATTTCTGTCAATTTTAATTTTTTCGCAGACAATAAGATACTATTACAGAATTTAATAGCTTCCTTGTTTCCGCCTAACCATTCATTTTTATACGTATAAACAGCCATATAAATACTTAACTTGGAAATAATTTGTAAGTAGGGTGCATAACTACTTCGAACCATTCTTTTTATTTTTTCATTTAGATCTTTAAGAGGAAAACAAAAAGTGGTGAAAATTGAACCAAATAGTCGTACCATCAAAGGTAAATGTCTTAAACTGTGAAGATTGCACGTCATATATTTCAGACCGTAAAAATTTTCAAAATTTTCAATAAACTTTTCAAAACACTTGTCAGACAAGTCGATCATTTGGCCCGTCACTTGTTCTTGGCACAACAAATAAAGCCCCAACCAAAAGTACATGTAATGATTCAAATATTCTTCTTGTAAAATGTTAGCCAAAACTAGCAGTAAATAATACAACCCCTAATTTTTTAACTCAGAAGCTTTCCAGTATGGAAAATATGTTTTGATTGGTTTTGATCAACGCGAAACAGAATAAGTTGGTCGAATTGAGCATAATCTAAAATCTATAACGTCGATCAAATAATACAAGGAAAATTTCTCGCCAGAAAATTTTGAATCAAACCACAATTGACACAGATGTTTAATAATACCTTCAAAAGCACAATCCATTATGTCTAATCTTGGTGAAGTTATAAAATTATAACACATTTTTGGCAATACTGATGGACGTTCTACAACACATACTAGTATTTTTACTTTCAAAACTAATTTTGCATTTTTAACTGTATTGTGACGGTAATCGTCAAGTTAGCGCTAATCATTTAACCTTATTGTTGTCCGTGAGGGCAGCACCTCCCAGGGGGGACAAAAACATGTAACGAAGGAATTCGGCACGCGAGCAGACGGAACGCGCGCGACAAGATTCGAACGAGTGAAGCATCAACCTTTGTTGTGTCCGCCCGTTTCGCTATCGTATCGCCGCTGATCCACGTGCCTTCGCTGACCGTACATCAGATCGACGAGAGGACCACAGCAGATACAGCCGTGATAACCGCCATCCAGGAGCCAGACGTCCGATCACCTGAGGCCAGGACGAGTGAACGAGTGTGTGTATGAGGTTTCGCCATCGAGGGCGAAACCATAACGTGCGCGCGTTCGCGACCGGCAACAAAAACAATACAATTAACTGTTCCGTGCTGTGCAACCCGTCATAGTGTTCTCCGGTCGCAGATAAGTAAGGTAAGCTGGCCAGCTTAATTACGCGTTCGGAATTACATGAATGAATAATAACTCGATGCTAACATTCGATGCGTGTATATAACGGCTCTAGCGACAAAGAGCAGCGAGCGTACCGGCAAAGCGTGTTGCCGATGAGCGAGCGTGTATGTAAACAAACGCGCGGGCCGACCTTTTGTGAGTTTTGAGGAAACAATAAAAGATCTGATTTAGCTTACTAACAAGTGTTTTCGTTAATTCTCTCATTTCTCATAGCTTCTACTCAATTCCGAATAGGTTATTAATGATTACAGGTTGACTGAGGCATACTTTCTCGTGCTCCCCGAATTCGTATTGAGCATTGATAGATACGCGTGTCCTTTCGAATATAATTACGCGATTTAATTAATTAAACGGTTATACCCCGTTACATGGCGCCCAACGTTAAAGAACCTACGGTGTTTTTGATAGTGCAAAACACCGGTTCTTAACAATAAACTCGCGCCCAGTCAACCAACGACTTAGGTGGCAGTCAAGTGTTGTTATGCACACTTGACACCGAAGGCCACAATAATAAACAAACACGTTAGCTAGCTTGCGAAGGCCCACCGCGGCGAAAATTTGTAAACAAAACCTGTGAACGCGTGCGAGTGCAACCGACAGATTCTAGTACGTAAACACCAGCGAATTTTGAAAGTTGCCGCAAATAATATTATACCCGTTGGCCCGGGGAAAAACTAACACCGGCAATTTTCAAACGGAATTATTTCAATTGAATAATTTTGTTCGACATTGTATTGCGTTAGCATATTTTTTTTAATATTATGTACTGCGGTTATTGGTGTTTACGTATAACGCTCGTAACAATATTTTAGATACTAACTCACACAACCGTGCTAACAAACAGTTAGTACGCCTGATAGGTAGGATCATTATATTGCGTATTGACGAGCAAAGAATCTCTCGGCAACCAATCCAATAAGCGCCCTTGATCAAGCCCTGTGTTGGCAAATAAAATTTTTTTTTATTTCTCAATTCGGCGCACCAATTATAAAATAACACTCGCACGCGCATAACATACTTGTAATTTTGCAAAAATCAACCGCAAGCAACCTAACAGAAAATAATGGACCGCACTCAGACCGAAGTAGAAAATTGGGTATGGACGCTCCAAGACGAGGAAATCGAAGAATACCTCGACCAGCTGGAGCTCAAGACAAGCGGGAGTAAGCTCTCGAGAGCTGCGCGACTGCACAACTGGCTACTCGGCGACTATTCCGCAGCGGATTTCGCGGAAGCCGACAACCAACACAGCAGTCCAGCCAAAAGAGCCGCCCTACGCTCGGAGCTGATAGTATCCATATGCCAGGAACACACAGCATCCGAGCAGGAGGGAGAACATCCGCTGGCCCAACTACTACAGAGTGCGGACGTAATATCGCGAGTCCAGCAAACCGCAATAAACA